ACAGAAACACTCTCCCTGAGCAGCATCCAAACACCCTTAACTCTGACTCTGGGGTTTTCACAGACAATCACAGGACTTTTAATATGAAATGGAGAGGATTGAGTAGAGAGCTCCCTCCTTTGAGGGCAGACATCCCTCTCCTTTACCCCAGCAGAGGGGATCTCCCCCGTCGCTCTTATACAACATCCTGCCTTTCCTTTGGGCAGGGCTGGGCTTTCCCATTGGAGCGTCTTACTGCTTCCTGGATTGGGGAGACGCTCTCCCTCTGATACTGCCAGCTCCTCCCTTCTCTCAGAGCTGGGGATGGGGCTACCCCACCCAATGCCACTTTTTACTCTTTGGTCTTCACCAGCTCTTCCCCAATGCTGCACCTTCCTCTCTGTTCCCTGGCCTGGGAGTGGAGGCTGCATTGGGGAGGGAGGTTGCCTCAGGGGTTTAAATCTGGTACCTGCCACTTCTGCTCCCTCCTCAATAAAAGCTTCTGACACCTTCCTGTCTGTGCTGCTGGGAATAGATAAGCCCCAGAATGGGAAGCTGGGAGCTGAAGCCTCTGCAAACCAATGAGAAACTAATGAAGTGGGTCACACTATATAGACTGAGGAGCTGCAGTGACATCCATAGGCGCCGACTCCATGGATGCTCGGCACCCACTGGAAAAAAACTGGTGGGTGCTCAGCACCCATCGGCAGTGCCCCCCCCAGCTTACCTCCACCGCGAGCGTGCCGCTGCGTTCTGCTTCTCCCCCGTCCCTACCAGCGCTTGCACCGCGAAACAGCTGATTAACGGGGCAGGGAGGGAGGGGGAATGTGGCGTGCTGGGGGAAGAGGCAGGGCCGGGGCGGGGATTTGGGGAAGGGATCCAATAGGGGCAGGGAGGGGCAGAGTTAGGGCGGGGACTTCGGGGATGGGGTTGGAATGGGGGCGGGGGTAGGCGCAGGCACCCACCGGCACCGGAGAAACTTTGCGCCTACAGTGACATCTCTGTTCAGTCTCAGGTGCCCGGGACAGAGGCAGCTCCCTGGGATCCAGGCCTGTCCCAGCCAGAACAGGGCTGCTGGGGAGTGTGAGAAATGGTCCCAGCCTCCCCCAGGGCTAAGTTCTGCCTCTAACGCTCTGATTCTCTCTCCCCACAGTGAATATGACGCTGGATCCAGACACGGCTCATCCTGACCTTGTCCTGTCTGGGGATGGGAAAAGTGTGAGATATGGATTAACCTGGCAGTATCTGCCCAAGAACCCTGAGAGATTTGACACTGAGCCCTGCGTGCTGGGCTGTGAGGGATTCACCTCGGGGAGACATTGCTGGGAGGTGGAGGTGGGGAGTGGGCGATACTGGGCTGTGGGGGTGGCCAGAGAGTCTGTGAGGAGGAAGGGAGAGATTAGCCATAGCCCTGAGATGGGGATCTGGGCTGTGGGTGGGCCGGTTCCAGGCTCTCACCTCCCCTGTGACCCTCCCGCCCCAGCGCCGGGCCCCCAGCAGGATCCGGGTTTGTCTGGACTGTGACCGGGGGCAGGTGACATTTATCGATGCTGGTGACAACGCCCTGATCTTCACTTTCCCACTGGGCTCATTCAATGGGGAAAGAATCTCTCCCTCACTCTGGGTGGGATGGGGATCCCGGCTCAGACTGTGTCCCTGAGGGAGGAAGGGGCTGGAGTTTCTGTATTAGCAGGGATCCTGGGAGAGGGAGACCCAGGCCCTGGAGAATATGACCTGCAGGCCACCAGGGAAGAGATGCTCCAGGAGGGAAGGAGTTGCGGGTGGGGATATGTCATCTGGATGAAGAAGAGGTGGCTGTGCGGAGGGGAGAGTCAGGTACAGGGCAGGTTTAACCAGAAGGGAGAGAAGAAATGAAATGGGGAAAAGTGAAAATAAAGTAAAACAAGAATAAACAGAGAAGCCTGGGGCAAGTGGGGGGAAGCTGAAATGAGGAGAGTGAAGGCACAACAATCCTGAGAAGGGAAAAGCTCGGGGGGCACTGAGAGTGGAGGGATTAAATTCAGCAGAGAAAACTTGGTACGTGAGTTGGAATGATCAGTGACATGGATTAGAGAAGAGTTAGAGAGACTCCAAGAAATAAACAGACAGAACAAGTGCTGGAGAAAATGATGGGTAAAACTGGATTAAATCAAAGAAAAGGGAAAAGGAAAGAGAGAGTGAGATGGAGATGTATAAACTGTTTCTGAAAGTGAGACTAACATTAATTCCACCCCATAGTTCATGGACAGTATTTCCACTTGGTATCTTTCAGAAAAAAAGATTTCAAATTTTTACCCTGTGTTCTGGTTATGAAAGTTCCTGATCAGCTCCTTTTCAGCCTGATATTTACTTAAGCAAAATGAAACATATAAAAATATGCTTCTTGTCGATTTCCCTTTAATTTCCCAGCTGTGACTTTTGAAGGTAGACATGGGGTTGTTTTCCCCTAAATTGTTTGTGTCAACCTGGCCCCAGAGAGGATATCTGGGTCACTTTACTTCTCAACTTCCCAACCTATCCATGCGTGACACCAGCAATCAAAATGTGTGACAGATGTTTGCAATCTGGAATACCTGGATTTTATGGCACATAGCCTGACAATCAACAGATTATAATGGTTTTAACTATTGTGGTAATTAAATAAACTATTAAAAAAGAAAACTAAAATATCTATCAAACAAAACCACACAATCCCCACTCCCACACCATCAGAGTTTGTTGTACGGCCTCCCCGGTCCCCAGCACACGTCCCCACCACTTGAACCTCAGGAGAAATTGCCATTATTTCTGAGGCCAATCACCGGAGGGGGACTTGACACACACTTTGCCAGCAGGTACAGAAATGCTTACTAGACAGATTAGAATATTAGTGATCAGAGCTCCAGGGTTCTCTTCCTGGCTCCATTGTGCAGTGGTAGTGACAGGTAGCCAGATCGTATCTGTTGTCTACATTCATCCCAAAAGGCAGTAGGAATGAATGGCTCCTGCCTGGACTTTCCACATTGGAGACCTGGGTTCTCTTCCCTGTTCCACCTGAAGTGACCTTGTGCAGCCACTCAATTAACTTGTAATCTGGAGGAGAAAGTGCCTAATACTTCTCTAGTTACTCGGGTTGGGGCTGTGGTGATATTTGAACTCATGGGTTTCTAGCTCCTACTTTGTTGCACTTTGTCATTGGTACTGGATATTTGCTGGCAGAAGAGTCTCTCTCACATATATCTATGAAAGACTGCCTGCTTTTGAAGCATGACAAAAGCACAAAAAAGCAGCTGAAATTAGTGCAAATAGTGAACTTTCCACTAATTCAGTGACTTGGGAGCTCTGCTGGCCACATAGTGCTGATCCTCCTGCTTTCCATTTGGAAAGGGAACTAAAGTACTTTAAGTATGTTGTTCACATTTCTTCCACCCATCAGCAATTGCTGTGATAGCCACAGGGGTGTTAATGGGAGGGGAGCTGCTCCAAAGGTCAAACTTGCTCTTTTCCTTGTTGAACCTCATCAGATTTCTTTTGGCCCAATCCTCCAATTTGTCTAGGTTTGAGGCACCTCCCCACTACCTGCCTCTAGTGTGAAATGGGCTGGAACCCCCCCCCCCCCCAACATCCACAGCCTCTGGCAACCCAAGCCCGGTCATCTGGGTCCCCACAGACAAAGATTTTTTTTAAAGAACCCCCCAAACAAGAAACAAAAACAAAACAAATGCAAACCACACTGAACTATGAAGTTCCCTTCTATGGTTCTGCTACAGGATTTGAATCATGTCTTTGCGGATCCCCACTGAACACCCCACCACTTCCGATATGGGAAAAATTGCTGTGCGTGGACCAGCTGCCACTTTGCCAGTGGGTTACACAAGTATTTGCTAGTCATCAGTAGAACATTTGTGATCAGGACTCCCAGCTCCTGTTGCTTGCTCTGGTGTAGTCTAGCAGTTAGCAACAGGAGAACCAAAACACACATGTCTGATGCTTTCAGCACTAAAGACAGTGGAGCTGACTAGCTAAGACCTGGGGCCTCCCTGTTGGAGACCGTGGTCCTATTCCCCATTTTGATGTCAGTGATCTTACGCAACTTCTTTTTAACTTATTTGTAAAATGGGCAGCAAAGACATGCAATTTTTGATTGCCTTCGAGGGCTGGGAACACACTGGCTTGGTCAGCGAAAAGGGCTGGAAAGTGCCTGCAAATACAAACAGCACTCAGTAAAGGTGCGCTTTATACTCAAGGTCTCTTGGCTTCTAGCTTGTTTCCCTTTACCCCAACCCACGTATTTTTAGCCTTGCTGACAAGGGCAGGGGGGCTTGTGGGGGCTGTAGCCACCCCAAAATTTGCCTTAGCGGCCTCCCCCATAGCCAGCCCTCTAAATCTGACCCAGTGAGGGTACCACCCTCACTGCTCTGATGCTGCTGGCCTGGGGCTGATCCCTGCAATCTGCTTGAACCCCCAGCTGATATGGTACGGAGCCAACTCTCCCACCCACGTGGCCCAGGCCCAGCGTAACAAAGGAGAGGTGAGTACCTGGTCTGACCTCCAATCACAGCCCCCTTTGCTCTTCGTACTGGGCCAATCATCGACCAGGGTCGACCGGAAACCTCCTCCCCGCACCCCGCCTGGGATGGCTGAAGTATAATAAAGAGAAGGCGGGACGTTCCCTTGCATACCAATCAGAGAGCAGGGAAGTGTGATAGGCAGGTGAGAGCACCAATCAGGCAGCGGAGAGGCGCTCAGTGTATCTCTTTGGATGAGCTGGCTACACGGAGTCTCCGGAATGGTTGGCCCAAGGATTCCCCGCCTCCTGCCAGGCCTGCTCCGGCCCGGGCTTTGGCTCCGATCGGGGTGAATCGCGGCCGCTGGGTCCCAGCCTGGCTCGATTCCCCGAGCCCCGGCGGCTGGTGCTGGGAGCCCGGAGCCCTGGCTGCAGCCGGGAGAGGGGAATCTCCAGCAGGGCCCTTCCCGCTGCTCCCCAGGAGCCTCTCCCAGGGCAGAGCCCCCAGCCTGGCCAGGGCCCTTCCCGGCCCGGCCCCTGCCTCTGCCCCAGGGGGGCCCGCTCGGAGGGAAGGTAAGAGAGACCCACCCGCCCCGTCACACCCGGGCTGCAGGGGGAGGTTTGGGCCCAGGCGGCTCCCAGCGGAGCTGGCTGCGATTCCCTGTGTTGTGCATCTAGGAAAGATGGCCCCCAAGTCCCATTGTGTGCAGGGCGGGGGGACGCGACACGTGGGGGTGGGGGTCGAAGAGGGGTGGAGTGTGTGTGGGTAAGGGGGGAACAAGGTGGCCGGGGGCAGGATGGGGGCAGGGTCGGTGATTGCACTGAAGGGAGGATGGGGCGATGCAGGGTGATCGGGGGCAGAGGGGGAATTATGGGGCTGAGGGGAATGAGGCTGGAATGGAGGGAAGATGTGAGGGGGGGTCACTGCGAGGGAAAGGGGGGATGTGGGAAGCTGGAAGGAGACTGAGAGCAAGAGGAGACTGGCTGGGGAAGGGAGAGGGGAGGGGAGAGACACATGGCAGCTCCCCCGCCCCATGGGGTAGGGGAGGGTGACAGGTTGCCCCGCCCAGCAGCCAGTGGGTTCCCCCCCCAGGAATGGTCAAACAAGCCGGGGGGTGGGTGGGCAGGAGACTTCCCGGAAGGGCTGAAAATTTACAAGGCAGAAGTCCACATGCAATCCCTCCCCCCACTCCTCCACACACTTTTTACTTACAGTTTAAAGACAATCTCATTATTTGGGGGGATCTGACTCCTGGGTTGACAGCACTGAACAGGGGCTGGTCTGATTTCTGCGCAGGATTCGGTGTCCAAACAGAGTCACTGCGAGCCGCAAGGAGTGGAACTGGGGTTTGGTTCGGGTCTAGTGGCAGTCGGTGTGTTCGGTTCCTGGTTCAATACACCACAAAATGGTTTGGTTACCAGGCAGTGCCTAAGAAGGGGGGCCTCACAGCTTGCTTCAGTGGGGAGATGAATTTGGGGCATGGGGCCTGTGTCAGGTGGGGCAATTGGAGGAAGGAGCCGCCCTAGGGGATGAGAGAAGTCCTGTAAGGCTAGGTCTACACTACCCGCCTGAATCGGCGGGTAGAAATCGACTTCTCGGGGATCGAATTATCGCATCTCGTCGGGACGCGACAATCGATCCCCGAATCAACGCTCTTACTCCACCAGCGGAGGTGGGAGTAAGCGCCGTCGACGGGAAGCCGCGGAGGTCGATTTTGCCACTGTCCTTACAGCGGGGTAAGTCGGCTGCGATATGTCGAATTCAGCTACGCTATTCGCGTAGCTGAATTTGCGTATCTTAAATCGACCCCCCCCTGTAGTGAAGACGTAGCCTAAGAGGGAGAAGAGTTGAACAGCCTTTCTTCTTGGGCTTGAAGAGTTATTGTTAACTTCTGGGACTGGGGAGCCCCCGCACTTCTTCTCTCATCTCCCTCCCTGCTCCTGTTGGCTCCCCCCTTCTTTTCTTCTACTGGCTGGGATGATTTAGTTGGGAATTGGTCCTGCTTTGAGCAGGGGGTTGGACTAGATGATCTCCTGAGGTCCCTTCCAACCCTGATATTCTATGATTCTATGATTCTATACCATTCTGATAGCAATCACATGCCAGAGTGTTGTTTTGTTTTTATGATGAAAGTAAGATCAGAGTAGCTTTTATTTCATTTTTATCAATTATTGAACTGAAAAATTGCTGAAACTTTATTTTAACTGGCAACCATTTCTCCCCTCCTTCCTTCCCCCCAGTTCGATTCAGATTCACTGAGTAAGAGGAAAAATTAGGGTTTAAGTCTGGTTTCAGTTCAGTTAAAAATATCAGTTCAAACTGGTTCTGTTCTGGTGTGAGTCCAGGTGGGCAAATGAAATCTGCAGCTGCTGAACTGTCCATGGGGGCTGCCAGGACAACCCCAACTCAGGGAGGCTCAGTCATAAGGGGATGGAGGGGGGAAAGCTGGTTATTGCTAAGGGCTTGTCTACACTGGCAGTTTACAGCGCTGCAACTTCCTCGCTCAGGGATGTGAAAAAACACCCCCCTGAGTGCTACCAAGTTTTAGCGCTGTAACATAGCAGTACAGACAGTGCACCAGCGCTGGGAGCTACGCCCCTTGTGGAGGTGCTTTTTTTTTTTTTTTTTTTTGGAGTGCTGGGAGAGCTCTCTCCCAGCGCTATGCAGCGACTAACCAAGTCATATTAAAGCGCTGCTGTGGCAGCCCTTTAACGTTGCCAGTGAAGACGTGCCCTAAGGCAGAGGAGGCTGGTGTCTGTGTCTTTGGCTGTGTCTACACTGCCACTTTCAGCGCTAAAACTTTTGTCATTCAGGGGTGTGAAAAAACACCCCCCCCCGAGCGACAAAAGTTTTAGCACTGAAAAGCACCAGCATAGACAGTACTTTATCGCTGGGAGCCGCGCTCCTGGCGATAAAGCTACCACCGCTCGTTAGGAGTGGGGTTTTTTTTATTGCCGGGACAGCTCTTCCCTGGTGATAAAGCAAGTCTATACTGCCCACGTCACAGCGCTGCTGCGCTGTAACGTGGGTAGTGTAGACATACCCTTTCTCTGCTCATGATATTAGAGTCCTAGAGTTAGTTGAGCTTCCTGGATCAGATGCTTCCAGGGATTTCCCTACACTCTGTCCTGCTGCCCCCAACTCTCCCATCGCCCACTTCAGTGGTCAAACCAACCAAGATGACGAACATACCAAGAATATACCAACGTGTCACCTGAAGGTTCAAGTGGTGTTTCAACATCCAAACAGCCTGAAGCACAAATACAGCTACCTACTGAAGAAACAGTGTCTCCGCAACCTAAATCCCGATGTTTGTCCGTCACCGTCAAAGCCAGTTTTAGAAGTACTTGATGAGGCTGTTAAGAATGCTGGAGACACAACATGGTTCATGCGAACAAACATGGCTGTCACTCCATACTTTCTATTTAAGCAAGAGATACCACACACTACAAGCTGGAGGCCAATGTTAAGTGCATTGTCACTTCTTAACCCTGAAATTGGACACTGGTTCCAAACAAGACTGGCAAATGCTCACTATCTTTCTGCTAGAAACTCAACTGACTGCTTAGAAGCATGCAGTGCAACAGTGAAAGACTCTTGGCATTTGGAAAAAGTGAAGAACTCTTTCATCATCTTAAAACATTTGCATACATGGCTGATGAATGCACCCATGCAAATGGGTATTAAGTCAGTGTTTACATTATCATGATGATAGTGGTAGCCCAGTAGATACATTTCTAGATGTTCAGGTTATAGAAGACACATTGGCTGCATCTGTGACAACACACATCTTAGAAGAGTTAAATGCTTGTCAATTGGACCCCAAACAGATGCCTGCTTGTGCATTTGATGGAGCTGCAAACTTCCCTGGAAGACACGGTGGAGTACGAGCTTTGCTCAGAGAAAAGTGTATCCCTAATATTTCCTATACACACTGCAGAGGTCATCTTATCTTCAGTACTCAGAAAGATAATGGAGGAAATAATTAAAGAATCAATTTGAAAACAACTAGGAGATAATAAATAAGTAACAGCATGGATTTTTCAAGAACAAAGCATGTCAAACCAACCTAATAGCTTTCTTTGACAGGATAACAAGCCCTGTGGATGGGGGAAAGTGGTAGTTGGTACATCTTGACTTTAGTAAGGCTTTTGATATGACCTTCTCATAAACAAACGAAGGAAATACAACTTAGATGGAACTACTATAAGGTGGGTGCATAACTGGTTGGAAAATTGTTCCCAGAGAGTAGTTATCAGTGGTTCACAGTCAAGCTGGAAGGGCATATCGAGTAGGGTTCCACGGGGATTGCTCCTGGGTCTGGTTCTATTCAAACATCTTCATCAGTGATATAGATAAGGGCATAGAGAGTGCACTTGTAAAGTTTGTGGACGATACCAAGCTGGGAGGGGTTGCAAGTGCTTTGGAGGATAGGATTAAAATTTCAAATGATCTGGAAAAACTGGAGAAATGGTCTGAAGTAAATAGGATGAAATTCAATAAGGCTAAATGCAAAGTACTCCATTTGGGAAGGAATAATCAATTGCACACATACAAAATGGGAAATGACTGCCTAGGAAGGAGTACTGCGGAAAGTGATCTGGGGGTCATAGGGGATCACAAGCTAAATATGAATCAACAGTGTAACACTGTTGCAAAAAAAGCAAATATTCTGGGATGTATTAGCACAAGTGTTGTAAGCAAGAACAAGAAGTAATTCTTCTGCTCTATTTTGTTTTGATACGGCCTCAACTGGAGTATTGTGTCCAGTTCTAGGCGCCACATTTCAGGAAAGATGTGGACAAATTGGAGAAAGTCCAGAGAGAGGCAAAAAAATGATTAAAGGTCTAGAAAACATGACCTATGAGGGAAGACTGAAAAACCTGGGTTTGTTTAGTCTGCAAAAGAAAAGACTGAGAGGGGACATAACAGTTTTCAAGTACATAAAAGGTTGTTACCAGGGGAGAAAAAATGTTCTCCTTAACCTCCAAGGATAATATAAAAAACAATGGGCTGAAATTGTAGCCAGGGAAGTTTTAGGTTGCACATCAGGGAAAACTTCCTAACTGCCTGGGTAGTTAAGCACTGGAATAAATTGCCTAGAGAGGTTGTGGAATCACCTTCACTGGAGTTTTTTAAAAGCAGGTGAGACAAACACCTGACAGGGATAGTCTAGATAATACTCTAGTCCTGCCTTGAATGCAGGGGACTGGACTAGAAGACCTCTCCAGGTTCCTTCCAGACCAGTGATTCTATGATCTACTCAACTAGCACTAGTACAAGCTGCAGAATCTTCAAAAGACATTTAAAAAGCCATAAATTTAATTCCTTTGTTATACTCTCTTTTTCAACAAGAGTCCAAAAAAACTGAACGTCTTGAAAAAACTAGAAGATGCTCCAGGACTGAAGTTCAAATTAGTCCAACCTGGGAAATCCCACTGGTTTTCCCATGAGTGATCCTTGGATGTTGCCTTAAAATTACTGCAACTATTATTACTGGCTTTGGAAAGTATCTACCAAGATGGGATGGATCTAAGTAGTGAGGCGGGTGGACTACTTTTGCTACTATGTTCAGAGAAGACAATCACCATTCTCTCTCTTTTAAGTCTACTGTTAAAACCACTTGGGTAATTAAACAATGTCATCTAGGCATCTGCTACAACAGTAGTAGATCTTTGTCCAGCAATAAAAGCTATACTTGGATCAGAGAGAGATCCACTGAAAACGTACTGGAAGAAGCAAAGACTTCAGTCCAGAAGTTGACTAATGAAGGCACTTGTGTTGAATCCTTAAGTGAAGAGGAGGAGAAGTGTTTGTTAAGCCAGCTGAAAAAGTACACAGACTTGATTCTTACAAATCTACAACAGAAGCTTCTGGATTCCACTCAACCTTTTACAGATGCCTATCTTGTAAAACACCGATAGTTGAGTGGAGTGAGGCACTACCAGAAATGGGGCTGAGATGCGATTAGGACAGAATAGAGAATTTGAACACCGAATGGAATGTCATCTGACGAAGGAATGAAGATTTCACTTCAGCTTCGTTTTTATCGTCACTAGTGGCTTGACCCAATCTTTGTGTTATGTGTCCTGGGATGAAAAAAGTAGGAATTCATCTCTTACTACTCACAGTCACAACAGCTACAGTTGAGTGTTCTTTTTCATCATTGAATAGAATTTTGTGTTCTGAAAGAAGTCGCCTTCTGCCTGATCAGGTGAATGAACTAATGAGCATATCACTTGAAGGCCTGGAAGTTCCATACACACAAGAAGCCAGCAAAGATGAACGCATTGCATTCAAGAAGTTCATTAACAGACTTGTGCAAAATTATAGCAGGAAAGGAAGAAGGATGTAGATGTCGTGCTTCATAGAAGGCTTGAGTAGCCAATTTAAATTTGTTTGATTTTTACAACGTGAGTTAAATCTAATAAAATGAAAAAAATGTTTCACGATCAGTCCATCTTCGCCCTCACGGTCTCACCCCTGGGCCCTCATCCTTCCTTTAAATTCGAACACCCCCCAAATTTCAATTCCTGGGGAAAATACTAGATGCAGCTGCCTCCTCCCTTGTGATCTGGGAGCCTAGACTGAGCAGCTGCTGCACCCCCAGCAGGGGTCTGTGTCAGGGAGAGACTGTCATTATAGCTCCCTCTGTGCCCAGCCCAGGTGGGGACTTTCCGCAGTGCTTGGAACTAGCCCCCTGGGGCAGTCCTGGGCTCTGTCAACATCAGCTCCTGAGCCAGAGCCTCCAAGTGAGGAGAGAGACCTGGGGGAAAGGGCTGGGGCCGGGCAGGAAAGTGACACTCTGCTAGTGAGTTTGTACCGGAGGGTAGGGGCTCCCTATATGTCTGCGGCTCCCAGAGCTGCTGCCTTCAGACCCACACCCACTCTCACATTGAAGAGCAAATGCCTATGGGAACGGGACAGGCACCAGTTCTCCTCGGGAGAGGGACGGAGACAGGAAGGGGAGGGGTGAGACCGAAAGGGGCAGCAGGAGCAAGAAGTGGGGAGGGAGGTTCCCAGCTCCCAGCCCTGCCCGGATCCATTCCCTGCATCCCCCTGGGCCGACTGACTCTCCTGGGAACAAGGGGAGGAGCTGACAGAGGAAAAGCCAGGTTTTGCCCCAGCCGAGTCCCCGCACTGCTGGGGGCATGTGCTGCCCTCGGGGCCAATGTCAGGGGGAACCCCCAAAAGTGGCTCCTTTGATTCTGCTCTTTTCTAGCATTTGTCTTAGAGACTCTGTCCCTGGGGGCGGGGGGTTAAAAGTGACCTGGTGGGTTCAATGCTGGTGGGAGGGGCCTGGTCTATGTTGTAATAAAGTGACTGAGGGTTTTTTAAGCGTTTTCCCAGCATGGCAGAACATCTGTCTTCAGGGAAAGAGCCTGGGGGGAATCAGGGTGTGAAATGGACTCAAACCCCTTCTGAAACCTCCCCCATCACCCCTCTCGCCCTGACAGGCTGAGGAATCACGTCCATGTTTCACTCCTGATCGTCCCATCCTCCTAGGAAACAAGGAAGTGGCTGTGGTGGAGCCAGCTCAGGTATGGGATTTTCAGCGAGCTGCCGGGGGGGGGGGGGGGGGGGGGGGTGGGGGGGGGGCAGGAAATACACAGGGTGAGGCGGGGGATGGTGATGGTGTAATAAACCTGCTGGGACATGTTCAACCTGGGCCTGATTTTCAGAACAGGCCCATTGGCAGGGAGTGAACATTTCTCCATTTCTATAGTTACCATATTTCAAGTTCCCAAATGGGGGTGGGGGGGGGAGTTCTGTTTTTACTGTACAGTTTCTTTCCACTTTGAATATCTAACATTTATAAATAACAAGCGTAATGGCCTCAAAAATAAATTTAAATTTGATTTACAATGTACCTCTTTGCATGCAGTCAGTCCTTTCCTACTGCGCTTCTTCCTGTTGTGCCCATGCATATGTCTCTGTAGAGCGTGTCTTTCTCAGCAGTGGTTGATTGCTCATCAAATAGCCATGAATGTCTTTGCCAGATGTGTGCCTGAAGTTGAGCTGTACAAGCAGGATTCCTTTCAGCAACTCAGTAGTCAATATCATGCTACCCTTATTTCTGGGCTGCTGCTGCTGGTGGCGGCACTGCTTTCAGGGCTGGGTGCCCAGCCAGCAGCCGCTACTGTCTGCTAGCTCTGAAGGCAGCGCCACAGCCAGCAGCAGCACAGAAGTAAGGATGAGAAAACCAGTGAACATGCATGCCACTGTTAGGGTACGCCAGGAATAGCAGTTCATCCAGATTCAGTGCTGGAAAAAGGATGAGCAAGGAAAAATCACGGATATTTGTTCATATTTCAAAAATCTGCCTGGATGGAGATCAGAGGGCCAAAAAAGAGGTCATGTCTGGGAAAACCCAGGCGTATGGTAACTCTAGGAAACACCCCCATGGACAGGGCTGGGAAAACGGACCAGATTCTCAGTGCTGAAGCCTGAACCCACTAGCCAGAGGCTACCATGAAATATGAAGCTCTTGGGATTCCTGTCCTTGTCCCCTGCTTGGGACAGGATTAGTTGGCAGGCACTGACTGGGGAAACTGATATTGTTTCAGGGTTCGGTGACCTTCAAGGAGATGGTTGTGTATTTCAATAAGGGGCAGAGGGCTCTGATGGACTCCGGTCAGAGAGCCCTTTACAGGGACATCATGCAGGAGAATTATGAGACTGTGACCTTGCTGGGTAAGGGATTTCTGTGCCCTCGGCTATTAGAAGCCGTGGGGTCTGCATTTCTGAATCTGGTCAGGTTCTTCCCTGCTCAGTTGGATTTGGGGAGAATGGGTCACATAGTCCACAGCTCCAGTGTGAGAGACACTTTCATCTCCATAACCCCTTGAAGGGACCAGGGGAGTCAAATCTAATGGACAGGCTAATTCATCTCTATCTCCCCAGCTTTCAAGGGGCCAGAAGCAGGGTATTGTCCTGCCTGTATTATTTCTCCTTCACACACCGTTCACCTGCCATCTTGGGACTAGCTCCATCTGTGTGGAGGGCTCTCGGTGCTTCAGGCTTGGAAATAGGCAGGAGTTTAACATCTGAGGTGTTTGTGTGTGTCAGCAAGTCCCCCAGAGCGCATCTACCCTGAGAACTCCTATTGAGGGCGTGACAACACCCCCTGCCCCCAGATATCTGCTGCTCCCAAGGGGTCGGAGTTACCACAGTCCCATGTAGGGTCAGGTTAAACTCAGGGAATGTTCCTTGTGACAGATACTCTACCAAGACTCCATGTGCCCTGATCTTGCCTGATTTTATCCCCTGCACAGGATTCCCCATTACCAAACCTGACCTGATCACCAGGTTGGAACGAGGGGAAGAACCGTGGGACCTCCAGGCCTCCAAGGAAAGGGAGATCCTGAGAGGCACCCACACAAGTGAGGAGTCCGTGAAACTGACAGAGAAACCATCTGGTGAGTGAAGGAAAAAGCCTCAACTCCCAAAAATGGGCTGTGAGCGAGAGCCCTCAGTTCTGCCCCGTCCCACTCAGGTCAGGGCTGCAGGGTTCACTGTGGCATCAAGGCAAATATCAGCCATGGCTTCCCACACCCATCCTGTTAGCTGTCAGGAGTTTCCTCCCTGACTTTACTTCCCTATGAGTGTTTGGATGGGATGTGGAGGTAGAACCCAGTTTCTGAGGCTTTGTGTATGCTACAGAGTTAGGTCGACATAAGCTGCCTCACTATGGAGATGTCTACAATACAATGTTCTTCCCACTGCTTTAACTCACCCGCTATGCCAACCTAATAAATCCACTTCACCAAGAGGCATAGCACTTAGGGTGACGCGGTGTCAGTGTAAACACTGCATTGCTTATGTCCACTTCAGTGCTCTCCAGGAGGTGTCCCACAATGCCCCACAGTGACTTCTCTGGTCACCATTTTGAACTCCACTGCTTGGCAGCCAGGTACATACCCCTCCCCTTTTAAAGCCTGGGAATTTTTGAAATTGTTCTTCCTGTTTGCTCAGCGTGGAGAGCTCACCTAGCAACTTCTCAGCTGAGCATGCCGGCTCCACGCGGCAGACGGGCTCCTGCCTGGAGTACGCCGGAGGTGGTGGATCTCCTGGGCCTGTGGGGACAGGGGGACGTGCAGGCACAGCTCCGAAACAGCCGTCGGAACTTTGACGTCTACAGCCAGATTGCTCGGGGCATGGAGGAGAAGGGCTACGACAGGGACCCGCAGCAGTGCCGCGTAAAAATCAAGGAGCTGCGGCAGGCGTACCAGAAGGCAAAGGAGGCAAATAGTCGCTCCGGTGCGGAGCCGCAGACGTGCCGCTTCTACAAGGAGCTGCACGCCATCCTCGACGGCGACTCCACCTCCACCGCCAAGCATCCTGTGGATACTTTGGGGGACCTGGAGTCACAGGCCACCGGGGTGAACCCTGAGATCGAGGTGATGATCAAGGAAGAGGATGACGAGGAAGAGGAGGAGTATGGGGCACAGGCGACAGGGGGATCCGGTGGTGTGGCAAGCCAGGACTTCTTTTTGACTCCTGAGCAGTCTAGCCAGTCCCAGCAGTCCAGCCCCGGTGAACCTGATGCAGGGGAGGGAACCTCTGGTAAGTACTCAGTTTGCTTCAATACTGCAGAGACACATCTGCTCATGTACAGTTTTTTTTAATAAGCTAGAAGAGGAAGTGAAATAACCCATACAGGTACAGTTGCTATCTGCTTCTCATTCCCCTGTACAACTAGGCAGAGGGGGCCCTGCAGAATAGTTTGTTTATTCACACCAGGATGTTCTGTGAATCCTCCATAGAGATCTCTAGGAAACTTTCCTGGGAGGTACTCTGCAATCCTCTGCCGAAGGTTTCTTGGGAGGGCTGCCTTGTTTCTTCCCCTATGGTGGGATGCTTTGCCACACCACTCAGCAATTACTTCATCAGGCACCATTGCAGTGCACAGGCTAGCAGCATACCGACCCGGTCTGCAGCCAGGAGCTGTTCCCTCAGGAGTGAGAGATCAGCTACAATCACCACCGCCTGTGGAAATGGGGCTAGTCTGCAGTACAATAGCCTTATCCGCTTGTACTGATGCCCCAGTGCTATCCCCTCCTTATTGTCCCAACTCCCATCCCACCCCCGGCCATACTCGCCATGGGTGGGGCTGCCATCGTGTTCTGAGTCCCAAGGGGAAGTGAGCATGTTGTGCTTGTAAGGGGAGTAAATGCACTGGCAATGGTACCTCTGTCCATTGTTTCTTTAGCAGCTGCAAATGCGGCCTTGAGGGCCTCTCCGTCCACCCCAGAGGAGCGGCTGGGCCAGGTGAGGAGGAGAAAGAAGAGGACAAGGGAAGACATGTTTCAGGAGGTCCTGCGAGCCTCCCGCGCTTCGGAGCGTGAGCAGAGGGCTTGGAGGATAATGATCAATGACAAAATGCACAGGGATAGCGAGGACAGGAGAAACGGGCAGCAAGAGATGATCACATTGCTCCGGGAGCAGACAGACATGCTGCGGTCTCTGATTGAACTTCAGGCCGAACACATCCGTGCTCGCCTCCCCCTGCAGCCCATAGAGAACTGCATTCCAGGACCTCCCTATACTGGCCTCCATGTATCTTCTGGGCCCACAGCAGTACCCCAGGCACTCCACCCCACGGAAGATTACACACAATGACAGCTGCACGTACACCCAGCTGTGAGAGCCTTTTGGGTGTATGTGCTTGTGAATTCCCTCTTCCTTCCCCTTCAAAGATACTTTCCCCTGTATGTAAGAAGTTTTTACTTTAGCATTACCTAGGTATGTTTGCATAGGTGTGGAATAAAAATGTAAATTCAGTTTTCATAAGTATCTTTATTAGTCTCCAGCCAGGGGTGCCTGAACAGGGTGGGGCCATGGATTTGGCAAATAACTATAGGTATATAAAGGCCTATTATTAAGGGTCAAAGTCTGACTGTGGATAGACTCTTGTTGCACCTATTTAACTCAAAGAGAGGAGCACATCAGTATCCAAGGGCAGAAATTGTTACTAAGATACTGCTTTAAAAAGTAGTGACTCCTATGTACCAGTCCACATGATGGTCAAATGACATGAAAACTTCTAGGGACTGAGGCTGACTAACATGAAGGGCCCTTTTACACAGCTTTGACTGTGTAAAGTGAGCCCTTACAGTGGGCATAAACATCAGTTCCTCGCAAATCAAGGCCCCTTTATGCCGATTGAGTTGCGTAAAAAAGGACTTTGTGTAAATGAGAATCGGGCTCCGTATTTTAAAAAAAATAAACTTGTTTTTTTAAAGAAGAGTACATGAATTCATTCCTGTATCTTTTGTTTTTGCATTTACACACCTCTAATAACAGAGAGAGCTTTTTTTAAAAACAAAACAAAACTGTACCAAAAATATAATTTGGGCTCAGGTTCTTTAATCCCAAAATGGAGCCTGGAGCAAATATCTATGCCTAAAAGGTAAGATCCTAATGGCTGAGATGTATAAAATAGAACTGTTACAGAGCCTTTAACCATAGCTGCACTGTTATGCAATGGAGCTGAAACAATACATATTTCCATAAACTCACCCTTTCAAAATACACAAAGTGAGATATATATATAAAAATAGTTATTGCACTAGTTTTAATTATGAATTAAATTGTTACAGAGGTTGGAACTCTTGCAGCCTATCATGTGATATATAAAAACACGTTAAAAACTTTCAAGCCATTTGTGGCTTATTTTAGTATCGGAGTTTGGAAGAAAACAATGCTTAGTACGCATGAGCTCTCCATCTTATCTTTATGATTTGTCTTTCCAATAACAAATACACACCCATACACATGTGTATTAAGAAAAAAAATCATGAATAATTACTGTGAAATACCTGTTAAAACTGTGGTATTGCTACTGAAAATGTCATTTTATACAGCAATACAAATGTAAAATAAAATATGCGTGAATAATTATAGTACTCACCATCAGTGGCAGGTCCTCTGCTGGACAAGGGACTTGGAGTGAGTTCAGTCAAGGCAAGAAAGCCCTGATTGCCCCCCCCACCCAGTTCTCCTCTCCTAAAACTCCTAATCACCCCCTACCCAGCTCCCCTCCCCTAGCCCCCTCGATCAGCCCTCATCTCCCCTTCCATGATCCCCCAATTGCCCCCCCCCCAGGTCCCCTCCCCTAGCCCCCCTGCCCTGGCCAGAGAGGCTCCTGCCCCCCCATTCACTGAGCCCGGATACCAGCACCTGCTCATTCACCTTCATGGCCCACTCGCTTCATCCCTGTGCTCCTGCTGGAGCTGGTGGGGCTGCAGCTACACAAGCAGCCTCCCAGGGACATACTGCACCTCAGAGCCTGGCCCAGCTGGGGTGGTCCTGCGCTGGGGAGTGGGCACAGCTCTGCACAGCTCCAGCCCATTTCACCTTTGCACTGGGAGGGGTGGCTACAGGGGTGGGTAAGGGAAATTTTGGGGTGGCTGTAACCCTCAGAATTCCCCCCCTAGTGCTGCCACTGATCACGAACTTTATCATTAATAAAACCCCATACCCCCAGCCCTAGAAAGCAGAGAAGTATCAGACACTTCCTCCCCCAGTTTACAAGGTGATTGGGAAGCTGCGCAAGGTCACTTCAGGTGGAACTGGGAAGAGAACCCAGGTCTCCAATGTGGAAAGCCCAGTCACTAGCCACGCATTCCTACTGCCTTTTGGGATGAATGTATGAAATAGATACAACCTGGTTACGTGTCACTACCCACCACTGCACAATGGAGCCTGGAAGAGAGCACTAGAGTTGTGATCTCTAATCTGTCTAGTAAGCATTTGTGGACCTGCTGGCACAGTGTGTGTCAAGTCCCACTCTGGTGTTTGGCCTCAGAAATAATGGCAATTCCTCCTGAAGTTCAAGTGGTGGGGACGTCTGCTGGGGACCACAGAGGCCAGGCTACAAATTCTGCAGCTGTGGGAGTGGGGATTGAGTGGTTCTACTTGATCTATATTTTAGTTTTCTTTTTTTTTAATAGTTCAATTCACATGCTAGTTAAAACTGTTATAATCTGTTGATTGTGAGGCGATGTGCTATAAAATCCTACTGTTCCAAACTGTGAACATCTGCCACGCGCTGACAGGTTTGGAAATTGAGAAGTAAAGTGACCCAACCAGCTCTCTCCTCTTGAACAATTCCTGATGTGTATCTTTATATAAAGCACATGACCCAGAGTGCAGGCTCAATAGCCTGGATCTTACCATAATACGTTGCTATCATCATAATGACATACACAGAGGTCCTCATTGGAATTGGGATTCCCCCTCCCCTCCAATTGCTTATGTCAACCCATGTCTGCCTTCAAAAATCACAGCTGGAAAATTAAAGAGAAATGAAACATATAAAACATGTGTCTTGTTTATTTACCTTAAGTAAATGTCAGGTTAAAAGGAGCTGAGAGGGAACTTTCATAACTAGAATACATGGTAAAAACATCCACAAATTTGAAGAAGTGTTCTTCTGAAAAGTACCAAAGTGGAAATATTAGCCCTGAACTATGGGGTTGAATTAATATTACAGTTTCTCACTTTCAGAAATATTTTATACATCTCGATCTTATGTTTTCTCGCCTCCCTTTTCTTTAATTTCATCTACTTTTACACATCATTTTCTCTAGCACTCCTTTCCCATCTGTTTATTTCTCTGCGTCTCCCCAACCCTTCTCTATTCCCTATCACAGATCATTCTACTCCAGGTTCCCAGTTCTATCCCCTGAGTTTATCCCTTCCTCTCTTGCTGCCTGCCCCAGAGCATTTCCCTTCTCAGGACGATTTTGCTTTCACTCTTCATTTAAGTTTCCCACCACTTTCTCCAGGCTTCTGTCTTTACACTAGATTTACTTTATTTTTCCTTTTTTATTCTTTCATTTCTTTCCCCCGTTTTGGTTAAACCTGCCCTGTACTTGACTCTTCACATCTTCATCCAGCTGCCATCACCCCACCCTCTAACTGCTTCCCACTATAGCATCCCTTCTCTCATGACTTGTAGGTCACACTCTCCAGTTTCTGGGTCTCCCTCTCCCAGGCTCCCTGCTCCTGGGGAGCCTCCAGCTTCTCCCCAAAACCTAATTAATTAATTCTGTGTCCCTGTCACCCCCACATCTGCCTGTCCCCAGCCCGGCTGCTAATTCTACTACTCAACCCCCACATCACTTTTGCCCCCAGCTCCTCCCTCAGCTCTGCCTCTGCAGCCCCACATCTGCCCCTCAGGACCCCTCTGCTCCTGCAGCTCCAGGGGTTCTTCCCCCCACCCCCTCCCATCCCTGGTGCTGCAGGGAGGGAGAGGAGCTTTCGGGGCCATAGAGATGAGATATCGGGGGTTGGGTAGACAGGGGTCCTCCAGTGGCATAGAAATGAATCAGAACACATTAAATGGGAATCCTCCAGGTCATAGAGACTAGGATGACTGTGGCTAGAGAAGCCCATTTTTTCATCCCAGTGGGCTCTTCCCCGCCCCCATGTCAGTGGCACTGTCTGACCAAGGATCCCCAGAGTCCTCCTGTATCATAGAGGACAGTGGCAAACAGGCTGCACAATCCCTGGGGCAGTGACGAGATTGGCTTCTCTACCTCACCTAATGCTCTCTGTGGTTTGACACCAGAGACTGCACAGAGTTGAGTCCGGATGCAACTTCCGGGGTTGCAGAGACTTCATGATAGAAAGTCCACAGGAGCAGATCATAGAGACTACACTGTCTGAGGCTAGAAGGGCTGATTTCAGGCTCCCCAGTGGGATATTCCTCTCTCTCCCCCCACCCCCATGGTCTCAGGGACACAGGTGGAGCTGGGATCCTACCCCCAGCACCCAGAGCCAGGGTCGGATTCTTTGCCCAGGGACGGAGCCTGGCGGGAAAGTGAAGATCGGGGCCTCGTCACCAGCACCAATAAATGTCACCTGCCCCCGGTCACAGTCCAGACAAACCCGGATC